GTGTTGCGCTAATGCCATTTTTTGACCTCGATACCGATACCTTGTTGTGCAGTATTGGCCGATACCGATACCATACCTATACAAACTGTTTGAAATTGATGTGTGTGTGTACATATATAAAGAATTGCATACTACTTGGATGTAAAATAATTGCCATGATGGCTTTGTCAAGCTGCTGCCTACACTTGTGAAGCAGGAAAATGATGAATCCAAGTGAATCCAGCAGGACTTTTCATTGCCTACCTGGAATGGGCGACTATAGTTGAATAAACTTTTGGCTCTCAAAATGGTATCGGTGCCCTATATGTTGGTACTCAGGGCCCTGCCCGATACTGGTATCAGTATCGGTGCAACACTAGTTGTAATACAGAGAACTAGTTGAAAGAGAGACAAATATAAAAGTTGCATTGAAAGTTCATTCAAGTTAACATTGAAAGTTCAACACTCTTGAATTACAAAGCTGTCTTTACAGTATTGTTAAATTGAATTTTATTCATCTTACATTGGAGAAATTTACCTCTGCAGTTAACCCATCCCCTTGGGGATCAGTGGGCTGGGATCATGGGGTGCCCGGGAAGCAATCAGGGGTTAAGGGTCTTGCTCGCCAAGAGTGGCAGTCTGTGGGGCTTGGGTTTTGAACTCACAATCTCAGGATTCCAAGGCCTATGCCCAACCACTAGGCTGCCACTCCCCTCCCTGTGCTCTTCACGATTAAACTGGAGTTAAAAATTAGGGTTAAAGATCAGGGCCTGTTAGTCAAAGTGAGTTTTGATGTTGTAACAATGTGCTCAAGTTCAGATTGAATAAAACATGGCATATGTTTTGTTGAATGAAACACTTTCTAAGGTGTAATCAGTCATCTTTATTGCACTTAATATTTCACTAAACAGATCATCCCAAATTATAAGTCCCAAATATGAACTTTGACAGAAGGTCAAAACAAACATGCATTATCCACAGCATTGTTTATGACAATAACGTTGATGTATTAAAGTAAATATACATACTGTATAGTAATCATTGTGGAAAAAATGCAGTTTAATCAGAAAGTACTCTTTACTTTAAGTATTTTTAAAAGCAAGTACTTTGTTACTTTTAATTAAGTACAAATGTTAATGTGATTCTTTTAATTTTACTAGAGTATCTATTTTTCTGTTTATTTGTACTTTTACTACCACTGGTAGCAGCCATGTTGTGCGTTCTCCAACTCTTTTGTTCAAGCAGCCTGCCCTGGAACCAGATATCTTGTTCCAGCTGAACTAACCCATTCCTTCCAGCGTCACAGCATCTAATGCATTCCTGAGCCATTGTTAATTTTTCACTGTTTTGATTCTATTTAATATCTTTGTGTTAGGGTTATTCAGATTTATCTGCTGCTATTTTAAAGGACACTTTGAATGAATTAAGCCTCAAGACTCGAACTGAAGTCAAAGACTCTCGACTGGACTCTTAAAATCCCCTTTCCCCTCTTCTGTATATTTCATTGCGCTTATTTTACTTGGGCTTATTAGTTAAAATAAAGGTACCATTTTTAAAAATAATCGGTGGTCTTTTGTGTTTATTATATACAGTGAACAGTTTATCACTCTTCTTTCAGGAATACTTGTATGACCAGAGATAAATATCTTTGGTTGGTGATTAATAACTCTGCTGATAGCCATAGTCTAAATGACTAAATTGGTGAAGGAGTCTAAACAGCCTGTTCAGGAGTCCAACCTTATGTAAAAGACTAGGAACCATGGTGAGTAAGCAAATTACAGTTATAATTATTCAACTAATAATCGTTCAATAGTTTCATCCTCGATTTGAATAACCCATTATAACCCCCAGTTATAAGTATTTAATATATTCAAATCTCTTCTGCTATTGAATATATTAAAGCTACAGTGTGTAACTTTAAGCGACATCTAGCGGTCAGACTGCAGACTGCAGCAACATGAACGTCTCCCCCCACCTCTTCTCCCACCCAACAGTACGGCGAGCTTTACGGGACAAAATGTCTTCCACGACTTCCCCATCACCTACCTTCTCAAGTGATGAGGTTTGTTTACATAGATAATTTTACAGATAGTATTTCATTAGTCTGTGTAGGGTATAGATTTCATGTAGACTTAAGATAATAAATATACCCGTTATTCTTTCTACATCGTTGTGACATTTTGGCGATCTCGCAATCACTAGTTTGTTGGCTCTGCGCTGCCGTAGCGCAAAGATGTCTGCCTCCATGGCTGCGAGACCCGCTCCTATGCAATTATAAATAACGAATTCTAAGGCAACGCAAATATTAAGGTTAAGAGGCTGAGCTCGTAGATGATGATAAAATAACATAGTTATGTATAATATATTACATTTCTGACTGTATATCCCTGGAATTATTACACACTGTAGCTTTAAATACCTTCTGCTAAACTAGCACCACGTTTATGTTAAGGCTAAAGCCTTTACTCACATGGCTAAACATATGTATCATTCATTTGACAGTTGACACAGAACAGTATCATATATCTGTCAGAATCTCAAAACCTTGGAGTAACCAGTATTCATAACAGACCTGAATGAGTTCAAACAAGTCTTTATTAACCATAAGCGTGTGGCTGCCCGTCAGCTGGAGCGGATAAATCGGGTCGTCTGTAGGAAACAGAAACTCAGGTCCGTCACTAAGAATGAAGGGCTGATAAAGATTAAGAGCAGTAGTCACTGACCTGGGTAAGAGTTCAGTCTGATCCCAAAAGAAGGAGATGGAACCGATTGGAAGCTTGACCTCTGCTTGCGGTGGGCACCACCCCCCTGGGCTCCGAGTGATGAGCGGAGCTAATGCCAGCCGACGCCTGGGAGCAACAGTGTCCAGAAGGGAATATCTGAGCCGAAGTCGTAGAAGAACCAAGTTCACGGACCAGAAGTTCAGAGAGTCGATGAGGTACAGAAGGGGAATCCAAGCCGAGGTCAGAAGAATAGTCCAGGTTTTGGTAAACCAGAAAAATCCTGGAATCATTCCAGAAAAGAGCAGATTAACAGAGTAGACAGAGGCAAAGCAAAACTTGGGATTCAAAGAGCAGAAATAGGTCACAATGAGATAAATCAGAAATATATTCAGAACGCTAGAGTAACTCATACAGACCAGCTTAAATAATCTGGCACTGGTAGCTGGAAAACACGCAGCATATAGGAGCTGGAAACAGGTGGATCAGATAAGCAGTAATGAGAAACCACGCAGAGTTAAACAGGTGAATGGAATGAGCAATCAAGCCAGCCACCAGTCCCAGGATCATGACGATATGGGCACAGTCCAGCTTGGTGTCAGATGGGATCAGAATCAGAAAAAAACTGGATCGGTGCCTCTCTACTAACAACATCATGTAAAACATCTCTACTGACAACATCATGTAAGCGAAGGGATTTAAAAAAAAAAACATAAAAGATAAGGTTAAAAGAAAGATAAAAACCAACAGTCATTGATATCTATGCATATGGAAAGGGTGACAAATCTATTTCCTAAACCTTTAAACACAGCACCAACACACATTGATAGCTATTAACCATAAAGAAGATGGGAATAAAGATAAAGCTTTGCTGGAGTGACCAGCCTAACAGAAATATTTAAAGAGCAAATAAGCAACACTGCATTGCGGGAATCGCTCACATTAGGTCATATTGATTTTGATTCAGCAACATGGAAGGAAGCCCAACATTTTCCCCCAAAAGTTTGGGCTTCCTTCCATGTTGCTGAATATTTTGTGGACTGAATAAGACAGAATGTACTTTTGAAAGGTCTATGCCCTGCGCTGTTTGTAGGGTTGTGATATTCTGGGGCTGCTTTGGTGTTTCAAACCTGGTGTAACAGATGGAACCATGAATGTCTACTTAACAGTTTGTGCTAAGCTCAAACACACCTAGCTCAGCAGGTCCTCACCTTCATGGCTCAAAAATAAAAAAGATAAACCATTAAAAAGTTTAATAAAATTGGGATTAAATATAATGGAAATTATGTTGCCTTAGCATTAGTAGTGGGTGATGTGAAGAAATCAATAAAAACCTCCAGGAATCCCCTCAAAATTTTTTTTTAAACCTCAAAGAGACTTTTCCTGGTTAAATAAAGGTTTAAAATGTAAAATTTATTATTTTATTTTTGTAGAAAACACTAAGTATTGGGATCATTTTTGCAATACAATTTTTATTGAGTTTATTTAGCCGCAGACACACAAAATTCATGGTTTTGCACCACTGTTTGCACTGCAGACATCATGAATGCTACTCAGCTCATGCTACCATTTGCATTATTTGCACTATAGCCACTGTACTGTGCAGTAATAATAATTGCTGTACATGTTACAGTTACATCGTTTACATTGACTATTTGCACTAGTCATCCATCAGGACCACTGTAATGTTACTTTGTAAAAATTTACCGTTACACTTCCCATCTGCACATTTGTAATCTTTTTTAGTATTTAAACTAGTTCGTTGTTAGAGTTTTAGTTATCCAAGCAGGTACCTATATTTATTTTTATATCTTAGGTTGTTTTTTTATGCTATGGTTCATTATATTTTATTATGCACCGTGGGGTTGAGATGACTGCAATTTCATCTGTGTTGTATGTTTACCATGTAGCACATTTGACAATAAAGTAGAGTTGAGTTGAGTTGAGTTTCACATCCTTAAAAAGTAAACAGCCCCTAAAGCTGTCCAAAGAGCTATAGTTTAGTATCGGAATTTAAAAGGCTTTGCAAATTAATCTAATATTTAAAATTATATTAATATAAATATATTTCTATACTAGAAAAGTCTAGGTGTCAACTTTATTTTATGCCCTTAAATATAACGAATGTACAAATAAATGTGTCATATTTTCCTTAACATCAGCGGTATTCATCTTTCATTTCTGCAAAAACAGATAAGTGACACTTGTAGAAACCATGCTTTCTTGTAATCACCTTAAAAGGACATAGAGAGATAGAGCCTGTAGTGCTGAAAGGAGTGAGGAAACACTGTTGTGCAGACTGCCAGCCCTGTGGATCACAGTGGAAGCGCTGCTGTGACAGGCTGTCTGTGCGCTCTAACCGATGCGTCACACGGATAGGTGCGGTTTGCGCAGCGCAACTCTCCACACTGTGCGTGTTTGCTGAAGTGACGTGGTGGAAAGCTGAACACTTTCCTCAAGCAAGCATATTGAGATTTTTTTCTTTTTACTTTTTAGTTAATCTCCATAATTTCAGGGTTTCTTTTTCCCCCTCGATTTTTGGTCTTCTTGTCGCTAAAAGCTACAGAAGTTCAAGGAACGGACCAGCACTTTCACATCTGATGAGGTGAGGCTGAAAAGGTTTCCACCTAACACCGCCCGGCAGTGACCAGGACAGGGTTACACAAATCCAAATATGCGCGTAATTGGAGCGCGCTGGCGAGGCGTCCCTTGCTCCCCTGGCCGGAAAACATCATTGTCATGATGTTCAATACTTCGGGAATTGAGCCCACTTTTAACAAGAAAGAGGATATTTCCGAAGTTATCAATGGCACTCTGTTTCTGGTCAGCAACGTGCCGGTCACCACCATCAGCAACCCCACAGCCAAGTGGAACGAGTCATGCGGGGAGCAGCTGCTGGATTTCGGGCGCCCGGAGAAGATCATTATCGGGGTCATGCTGGCGATGATCACGGCGGTGACCGTGATGGGAAACACGCTGGTGGTGATTGCGGTGTGCGTGGTGAAGAAACTTAGGCAGCCATCAAACTACCTGCTGGTGTCCCTTGCGGTGGCGGACCTGTCAGTGGCCATAGTTGTGATGCCGTTCGTCATAGTGACGGACCTCACCGGCGGCAAGTGGCTCTTCGGGGACTTGTTCTGCAACATCTTCATCGGCATGGATGTAATGTGCTGCACTGCCTCCATCATGACCCTGTGTGTGATCAGCGTTGATAGGTGAGTTTACAAAGTTTGGGCTGATCTAAGCAAAAAAAAAAAAAGCTGTTCGCTTTCAACCATGGGCGGTTCTAGAAAGGGGCCAACGGGGGCCAGTGCCCCTGTAGATCATGTCCTGGCCTCTTTTATGGCCAGGGGCAGAGCTAGAAGGGGGGCCAGGGACCCTTAGCCAATCATTGGCCACCACTGTGGCCACCCCCCAATATAGATGGTGGTAGCAATGATACTCTCCAGTGGAATATTCAAAACATTTAAATTTTTTGTGGTTAATTATAGACATCAATATACTAAGTACAGAATTTATGCTCTTTTCAGAACTAGATTTTGATTTCGTATTATTTGGGCTCAAGAGAAAATCAAGTCATCTAGGAGTCTTCAGTGCAATCCTAGATAAATAACAATTTTTATAAAAACTTATCAAATAATCAATTTATGTAGATGTTAGTGCTTGTAAATATCAATTTTATGCAGAATGTTTATTCATACAAGTAGGTAAGTAATGACAATGGAGAAGATTTACGTCCCAGCGCTCGAAACTGAGAGAGTTTTATCCTCTATACCTTTTATCTAGGTATAGTGGATAAAACTTTATCTAGGTAAAATTACAGATTTTTAAATGTATGCATCTATTTCTTAGCAAAAGGCTGTAGGAAAGTATAGTTTGTCTTTATTTAGAAAATATGGATCTTTTGCTCGTTAATTTTCCTGTTGGAACATTGTAGATTGACACTGAGATTCTGGTACCTACCCGCTTTCGGCCACCCCTCAGTGTACATTGGTTATTGCCTGACCACCCTTGAAAAAAAATTCTGGCTATGCCTCTGGTTATGGCCCATGTACTGAAAACATAAAACTCAAAGAAATGCTAATGATGATTTGCGCTAGAAAAGACATGGTTACTGATAGATCCTTTTGATCCATTTAGTGTTTTTTCTTTGTTTTACTAATTATTTAAAAACAATAAGGTGATAGCTTCAGTGGTATTGAGATAGGATCCCAGTTTTCTTCTGCTAAATTTTTTTTCTCCAAAATAAATTTTAAAGACAGCTGAATTTTTTCAGTTTTTCTTGAGTTCCAATTCAACTTTTATTCAACTAGGTTTATTCAACCTAGTTGAATAAAAAAAAAAAATCACTTCATGCAGCTATCTTAATATATTTGAATCTCTTGGTCTGATTTTTATTTCATGATTTTCTGGGCCCCCATGAAAACACAGTGGCCCCCTCCTGGCCCCCTGGTACATCTGGTCTAGAACCGCCACTGCTTTCAACAGTATCAGTTTTAGTGCAGGGCCGGATATTGAAGGAGATGGGCCCCTGGGTAAGAGCTAATTTTGGTTCCCTATCTATACATATTTATATCACATTTGTCTATTAAATAAGAGGTGCATCTCGATAAAGTTTATATATTTGAAATATTTATTTATTTCAACTGATAATAAACAGATTTATGACACAGAAAATATATACTGTAAAATATATACTGTTCATTTAATTAATTTAGATCGTAATGGTGCACAGCGTATAAAACACAAAATATGAAAAGTGGATATTGCACAGGAATATGACAGATTTTTTTTTAGCACTGTCTCCTTGCAGCAAGAAGTTTCATGGGTTAAATTCCTGGCCAAGGGTCTTTCTGTATGTAGTTTCTGAATGTTGTCCCTATGCATGCCTGGATTCTCTCTGGGTACTCCGTTTTCCCCTGTCCAAAAACATGAAAATAGGTGTAGATCTATGTATGTACATGGTTATGTGTCTCTGTGTTTCCTTGCGACTGACTAGCGACCTGTCCAGGTTGTACTCCGCCTTTCACACATAGACTGCTGGAGGTAGGCACCGTGACCCTGATGGATAAGCAGAAGAAGATGGATGGAATATTATGTAAATCTACTGAATTTATATAGCATTTTTAGTCATACTGATCACTCAAAGCACATAACTTTAGAGCCGTATTCACCAAGTTCGCCAGTACATATATATATATATATATATATATATATATATATATATATATATATATATATATATATATATAAAGAACCATCTCACTGCCACTGTGCCCCTTAGTTCCTCATTCTGATGAATCTCCCCCACCTGTCAATCAAATGTGCTGATGAAGATTGATCTACCCACCCAATGTGCCACAATCAGATGACCCACATATGTAGATAAATAAATGATTAAATGGCTTACCTTAAATACAGTATTCCCATCTTAATATCCTGTAAATACTGTTTGTGGTCTCTGAGATCAAATATGAAAATTACTAAGATTTATTACTTAATTCAAATACTAAAATAGCACTAAAGTGGTGGGGACTTTCACTGTCTCTCTCATCTTAATTATATTACACAAAAAATCTGTATTTCAGTAGAAGCAGAGTAGGATGCAGAAAATGTGAAGAAAGTATTAAAGCTAACTAAAGTTGACCTTTATGTTTTTTTAAGAAGTGTTTTGGCTGATGAATTATGGTACAGCTGGTGAGATCTTTTTCCTCGTATGCTAAGGTTCTGTTTTTGCTAGATATGCTCCTGTCCCGTGAAACTACATGTAGTCTATATTAACTGCCTGTTTGTAAAATATCATTAATCTCATTTTAAATAATTTTGTATATCCAAATTATTATTTTAATTAATTTCTTACTTTGTGCATCGATGTGGGTAAAGTTGGTTCTATTCAACCAAAGGGCTTAAATTATTAATCCAATCTAATAAGTGGTATAGACAAGTTTCACAGGCATTTCCACTTTACTTCCATCAACAAGCTAATTCAGTGACTCATTTGTGGTTGAATAGGGGCAGTGTTAATTCAAATTGGATGGTGATGGCTCTAAACCTGGAAGATTCTCATTTTTTTCTTACAATCTATCAATTCCTCACCTTGCTGTGACATTGAACGGGGAGGATAATATGACAAAATGGCCTAATGTTGCTGGAGCAAAATGTTTTCCTACTTCTTTGAGTTCACAGTGGTAGATGGGAACACCATGAACTAGCTGGAAAGCTTGGAAGCTTATAAATACTTGCATAGCCTCAAAGTCGGCTTTGTACTGATACACACGTGGCAATGTGGTATACATGAATGCAGATGTTCTGTCAAGCCAGATTCTGAAAGATTCCTGTCATAATGCTGGAATGTTGGCATGGAGGACGCCATTAGCCTCAGCCCAAGAACCGTTCTAATTCACAAGAAGACAAGACTGAGAACGGACAAAGTCCCTGGATGTTGTTCTTGCCCCTCCCTCTTTACCGATCATGCATCAGAACAGCTTCCAGTGGAGCGCTCACAGAGCTCAGAGTATTACCTTAAAAAAAAACTCTTTTCTGTTGCCGTTGTTCTATAAAAGTACGTTTTAAGATCATTTGAGGTGAGAACATTATACTTTTAAGTGCCACTATGTGGCCAAATTACTGATTTAGTGCGTAATAAAAAAAAGTTCAGATGTTGAGAGAACCGTGGCAACCAGAGGGCCTCTGAGTCCAACCGAAGCCAGTGCTAACCTTAGCCTGTCTGCAGCAGCCCTCTCGCGGCATAGCCCTGTGTTGGCTCTGATACCACTTTTTTTGTTTTAATTATCACAGTTTTCATTTGATTTGTGTTTATATGACTTTGTAAATTATTATTCCCCCACTAAATGAAAATAGTAATAATTTATTATTATCTAGACAGGTTTATGTTATGATCACCACCGAGCAGAGTGTGTAGTGATGTCACGAGTACGCTTCTGTTCCAATTGTCCAATATTTATGCAGCATGCTACCATTCTCCTGTAGTCCACACTTTCCTTTGTTATTGTCAAGAACATACTTGGCGAAAACACAAGTCCGTGCTCACGTTCTTGTTAATTGAGAAAAGGCCAATGTGTCTTATTTGAGTTATAGAGGGAAATTGAGTGGTCATTTGATCAATGGTCCAAAGTACTGTTTCACATGAAGCAAATTTTGGATTAGTAAATATTTCAAATCTACAGTTTAAAGTCTGGAGAAACACAGAATCCAGGCTGTTTAAGGTTTCCTCAGTCAGTAATGGTTTGGGAAGACATTATACATGGTTGTGCTGGTTCACTTTGGACTTTGATGTCCAAAGTCAGTGAAACTGTCGAACAGAAAATGTTTATTTCATGCATGCTTTTGCTGACACGAATAATGAAGATACTGATTTTATTTCCTAGAAGAACATGGCACCTGCTGGCACTGCTGAAAGTAGTAATCCCAGCTGCAGTTACCATGGTACCAACTTGCTTGACTGGCCAGCAAGCTAGCATAACCTAAACTCATGCAGATTTCATGTAGTATTATAACGAACAAGACGAGAGACACAAGACCCATCAATGTAGATAAACAGGGGGCTGGCATCAAACCGCATTTATGCCATGTAGAATTGATGCAGTAAATCAACCAAGAGGAAATCTGAACAACTTACTGCAAATGAATAAACTTTTCTGTTGGCCAAAACATTAAATGAAATAAAAAATTCCCAGTCCTATTTTTCTGGGACATATTGTTCTAAGCACTTCAGCCAGACACAACAGAGACATTTTGAATTATTTATTGCAAATTGTGATTGAGGATCATTGGGAAGCCACCAGCAGCAGGATCAGGAACATCTGAAGGGAAAGAGAAAGGTAAATAGATGGGCAGGAACTTGTATTGTAGATGAGACTAAGTTCTAAAATAAACCTACCAACCGTCTCAGAATCCTTGGAAGACAGAAAATGCTGAGCTTTGGGTTGTCAGCCTAACACGCTGGTGACAATGGGATGACGTCACTGTGGATTTGACAAGCTGAGAAAGTAAATCCTTGGTGGGGATTTTATATAAATGATCCACAGTTAGAGCACACAGGCATAATTCTTCAGCTTTATTTGGTCAAGGCCAAGAAAAGTGGTCAAATATATGGAGGCAGATTAAGGCAGATCCATTGGATAGACAGCAGGCAGGAGTCAAGACGTAGAAACAAGGTAGATGTTTGTAGATTCAATGAGAAAAGAATATCTGA